CCGTGAGCCCCCCAGGGGGACACGGGTCCCCCGTGAAGGGCTGCCATGACATGCCAGGGTGCCTGTGTGTGCCTTCCCAGGGAAACTGGCCCCTGTGCCAGCACAGTGCCGTGCCTCCCCCAGCATCTCCCCATCCACCCCACGGCGTGGTCCCTGAACAGCCCCTTACCCCTCGGTGCCAGGCAGTGGGACCCGCTCCCCCAGGACTCCCGTGGGCTCTGCAGTGGCCATGTCTTCCTCATCGGAGGAGCCGGCGCTGGATGACTCTGCGTCGCTGTCTGCCAGCAGGATCAGCCGTGGCCTGGCCCTGTGAGCCCCGGGGAGGATCATGAGGGTGTCCTGGGGCCAGCACCCTCTCACCTTGCTTGGGGAGGAGGAGAAGGAGGAGGAGGATGAAACCCAGCTGTGCATGGTCTCCTTACCCCTCTCCACCTGCCTCTGCTGGACTGCTCTCCTCTGCAGCGCTCTCCTTCCCCAGCTTGCAGAGGTTCATCTTCGTCTCGAGCGTCATCTGCAACGAGCCGCTGTAAGTGACCTCCATGTCCACCCAGAGCCCTGCCAGGGAGAGGGACAAGGCGAGCCTCTGTGAGCATCTGCTTTGGGGACCGGGCTGGCCAGTGGCTGTGGAGCCAGCCCTGGGGTCCCGGCCTCTCTGTGGGGCTCTCACCTCGGTCATTGATGGTGGGGTTGGAGGCGCTGAGGACCGAGGGGATGGATGTGCCCATGTCCAGCTCCGTCAGCGTCAGCTCGTTCATGAAATATGGGAGCTGACGGAGGGAAACCACATGGGGACAGTCACCACAGCCTGGCACCCGCTGTGGGGCCTCGGGGACGGCATGGAGCTCCTGTGGGTGCTGTGATGCCCCTGCCTCTCACCTTGATCTTGCTCAACTTCTTCTGGATCTTGCTGGACACCTGCTCAGCCCAGTATCGCTCCCGGAGGAAGTCCCAGAAGATGCGCCCCACCAGCGCGTTCATCCAGGCCACGCACACCTCGCTGCTCCTGGCCGCGTCCTCGCTGGGCTTCGGA